GACAAAAGCAGAGATACAAAAAGCAACTGTAAAAGGCGGCCCCGTCCAGGAAACACACAGCCAGGCAGACGAGCTCCGAGCGAGCTCCCATGTCAGAGGATGAAAAGAGCACATCCAGCCAGTTACAGTCAGAAAAACAGGACTACACTGAAAAACAGTATGCAATATTTTTGGTAATGTAGTCTGATTTCCAGAAAGAGTGTTTTATCAATTTAGAAAAACTGTATACTCTATTCACAGTAATTAGCTTCCACATTTGACAGCATATTTACCATTTATAATTATTCTCTAAGATACACCACATATACGATGCAAAAAAAAAACAATGAAAAAAAAAAAAACAATCGTGGATTTTCATTCATTTAACTTGTCAGAAATATAACTTCCTGGGTAATTTCAAAACATATGATCATAGGAAATATAGTTGTTGTAACTTTAAAAGTTAATACTCACCATTATTTCCTATCTTGCCCACTCACTTAGTTTGAGAAGCCTTCTGGACTTAACTGGAGATGTAACATTACTGAATGAACTGAAACAATACATTATTGACGTCCCTCACATTTTTATAATCCCCAAGTTTATCTGGCTTTTTGATAATGAAGTTGTTGTATACCTAGATCAAATTCACACTGTATTATTTCCATTCACTTTAGGCCCTGTAATTTTTTGATAATGTTTAAGGTCACCTACGGATAGGGTATAAAATACCCAGTTAAATATATCACCGCAAACGGATTCGAACTCCAAGTTCATCCAGTAACCTTTTTATGAAATATGCTTTTGCTTTTTCATTAAAACTTCTGTTTTCAGAAAAAAAAGCAGTACTGGAGAACTACTACTACTAATTAAAACATTATTATTTACAGTAAAGAAATAGACTTTCCATGGAGGAGAGAGGGGTGCACATGCTACTGAGGCTCATCCTTGCTGACCGTCTGCTCTGTGCCACAACCTTTTTCACAAGAAAAAAAAAAGGACACATTTCAGTCTAATTTAGAATTTCATCATGCTCTAATGCGTTTCAATGACAGGCTTGTATCTAAAAAAAGAACCTGCAAAGGAAGTCTTACCTTGGAATTTTCTGAATCCAAACAGCAAGAATAAAAGGATAAAAATAACTCCAACTCCAATGATTGATCTAATAACGAATAGCACAGGAAACTTAGAGCTTTCAAATCTGGATGAAGCTGTTGTAAGAGATTAGAAAAAAATCACAAAATTCAATATTTGAAATAAAACATACATTTTGGGAAATGAATCACATACATCGAAAACCTTATCACCTTTTACTGCCATCCAGCTCTGTGGTGAAGCTTTTCCTGAATGTTCACACTTGTAGAAGCCTTCGTCTGACTGAGACACTGCAGAGATCTTCAGCTCCCCTCTGCTGTCATTTTGTACCAGTTTGTCATTGTGATAGAAAAACACATTGGAAAGTGTATTTTGTCCTCTGAGTCTGCAGCTCAGAGTAACAGAAGCTCCCTCAGTCACAGGATGGACGGGGCTCACCAGGAGAACATCTCCATCTGGAAAACAGTCAGAATATGAAGTTTCAGTCAGAAATCAATGCTTTGATGCAATTAGTTTTTCAAAAGTGTTTTTTGTATAATTGTAAAGGTTTGCTTTATGTTAAGCAGTCAAGCAGAGGAGAGACCTCGCTGTTTAATCACCAGATAACAATGTAGAGCTTTTCAGCAGCACTTTTCAATTCGCATCCAAGTCATAGTGCAGAAATTCTCTGGTAAAATTGTGGCTAAAACATAAATGAGAAATTATAGTAGCATACTATGTCCAGTGATGTTGACCGCATTGCTGAATTCACCTGACCCGGACTCACACCAACACACAGCTTTATAGGAGGAGTAGATGGTAAAGTTACATGATGATCCACTCATCGTCCTCCAGGTGGAGCAATCTGATAACTTTGAACCATTGTCAAATTTGACAAACTCCTTCACTATCCACTGAGGAGAGTTTCCTTCACAGTTTATTGAAACAGTTTCAGACATAACGTGCTGCTCCTTAGCAGGAATCACTTTAAGAGATGCTGCTGGATGAGAATCTGAAAACAACATGGACAAAATAATTAACACACACAACAGAAACATAAAAAACTGATTATTATCCTTAAACTTAGTACAACATCTCAGTGCTGGAGGATGCTCTGACTGTAGATCACAAGATTGTATTCTTAACTGCTAAAAATCATTAGTTGCTTTTAGACTACTGAAAAATAGTTGATAGTGAACAGAACAAATCAAGTAATTTTTACCTTCTGCATCTTCTACTTTCCAACCTTCTTAAATTGTTGTGACATGGAAAACGTCTGTTACCCCCTTTATTATTTCTACAAGCAGATGTTCTTTTTTTTCATTTCCACAATTCATCTATTAGAAACCTTCATGTGATTCAGAACACAGTAGCTTATTACCCTATTTTATGCTGTGGCTGGGAAGTGTGAAATAATATTACTTTTACCTTAAATACTTTTACAAATTTGGCAAATGATGGTAAAAGTCTTTTGTCAAACGTGTAAAAGTGCTTTTGTTAGTTTGTAAAAGTGTTTGTCAAATATGTAAAGGTGTTTTTTCAAACATGTAAAAGGCATAAAACAATAATTTGCAGCCTCTGTAGCTTCAGTGGGCTCTCCCAACACACGGGGAACAGAATTTCATACAAAACCTAAAAAAAATCGCAGTTGAAGCCAAAATAAAGTTGGGTAAGGCCTCTACTTGCATGAGGTGCTTACAGGGTAGATTGCACCAGACAACGCAAAGCTAACCAGATGAATTGTATTCAAAACTTGAACTTCTTGTTTTACACAAAGCCTTCTATCCATCCATCCATCCATCCATC